ACTTAAAAAGTACTTTCGTGCAATAAAAGTTCATTAAATGCCGAAATTTTAACCAAAATGCACCGAAATTCAAATTTTTGGGTCTTGATGCGTTTCACATCGATTCCTATGTTTTCGGGGGTGCTGAACACGATTGTGCATTGTAAAATTAATTTGGACCATAAAATTGGAATAAAAGGACCATATTTAACCAAAATACACAAAAATTCACAAATGCTGTTGGCTGTTTTAAATAAGTTATATGGGGGACCTTCGAACCATTGTGGGTTAGATCCAAACCAAGTGGACCCCTGCTCACTGGAAAAACGAATGTGACATAAAACGCGTGCGGGCGGGCTTGCGTACCGTCGCTCGCCATGACGCCTTTACGGCCCTTACGCACGTAAGAATCCGGTACAGCATAAGCATTAAAAAATGACGGCGCGGATCACCCAAAACGGGAGGAAGTAAAGCTAGATCAAGAGTTAAACTGCACAATGGTCCTATCGGAAATAATTAAAATTTCGCCTAGAAAATATTCAACAACTCAAATTTGACAAAATAGTGCATCAATTGGTAGCGTGTGAGACGTACACTTGTCTTTCCAGTGCTGACACAAACAGTGTAAAAGAGCCTCTACAACTAAGGCTGGCCTTCTCGAATTAGATGTACCCCATCACGCCACTATGGTTTTCCACTTTCCCCGGCTTGAGATTAATTATCCGCCCACGACGCTGCTGTGTCCCAAAGTAAAGAAAGAAGGCCCGAACGCCTCTCAAACGTGTACATTTCAGTTCTTGAAAAGCTTCCAAGATACCAGGAATATTGCGATTAAAAACTGGTCACACGGTAAAAACAATGTCTCATTTTTTGAGGAAAAAGGGAAAACTTTGAGGACCTCCCATGTTTAAGGAAGAGTCCTCCGATATCGCCTCAGATTTTGAGGAAGCTTCCCAAAAAATGAGGAAAAATCCCACCAATTTTTGAGGAGACTTCCTCGAAATCTGAGGAAGTTTCGTCAAACCAGGGGAGTTCCTCAAATAAGTTTTCCCTTTTCCCTCAAAAAATGAGACATTGTTTTTACCGTGCAACGCCATGGGCCTATAATAGCCCACCTCCGTGACCTGAGTCAACTCCAATTAATTAATGAGTCGTTAAA